GCCCCGTTCGATTTATAGAATTTCTCGAAATATTCTATTTATCGAATATTATTTATAAGGTTATAATTATTTTATTAGTCGCGATGACGACTTAAATAGAAGGTTGGAGTACTCGATCGTTTTAATAGAAAAAAAACGTTCGTCGTTCGGCGATTTCGGTTTAATCGCGTAGTTCGGATTTAACCCATTCGAATTATTGGATTTATTGTTGGATATTATTATATCGGCATTATTATTGTTATTATTGTTATTAATATTATTATTCCTATTATTTCTTTAGTTGTCTAATTGCCTATTAATATTAAATAAATATTATTGTGCGTAATATATATATATAATTATTTCCCGGCTTAATTTATTTTATCGTCGTTCGTTGGATCGAGCCATTTTAAATGGCTAAGTAGAGCCCAAGAGAACCGGACCCAACCCATTCTTCCTTTAGCTTGGGTGACAAGTGATAAACCCTAAATTAAATCATACAAACTCTTGTTCTCTTTTCCCTACCGTTCTCGGGAATTGTTTGAACGAAAGAGATCAAATTGAGACTAAACGGTCGAACCGCGAGTGCCGGAGGCGCTCGAAGGCTACGCTCGGCTTGCTCGAGGTGCTGCTGGGACGGAGGTGATGGCCTGCAACAACGGAGGATGACCGAAGGGGCCCGATGGTGGCCCGAACTTCTCAAAATAAAGATACTGAGGGTTCACGGGTCGATGCGACTGGCCTGCGGGCAACGAAGGCTTGCGAGGACAGCGACGAAGGCTCAATCAAAGGATGAACGTGAACGGGAATGACACGTCGGGGCTTGTTGGCGGAGAGGGCAGCAATCACTATAGGAAACGATGATGGGGGAGAGCTCCTTTGCTGCTACTGGTTCGAACTGTAAGAGCGAGGGTCTGCTGCGGGTCTGGTTCGAACAAGATGATGGCGCGAGATTGATGATGATCAGATAACAATGATGATGATAGTGGCCTGATGATGGGATGCTCTGCTTTTTTTTTTTTTTTTTTTTTTCAGCGGTCTCCTAATTGCTCGAGTGATGGTGTAACACCCCACTTGATTTTGAAGAAATTTCGGATTTTTCAAAAACCAGTATAAAATTTCCAAACTCATTTTCGAAAATTTAGTGGGAGTTAACTATCACAATTGACTAGTCCAAGTCGTTCTGGACTCACGGGGATTCATAAACCCGATTTTCGCAAGGTTTTCATTAACCTGATACACATCTCATATGAACAATGGAATATCCAAATCAATCACCATAATTATCCAAG